CTAGCCATAATAATATTTTTCAAACGGTTGTTAATATTCTCAAATATAAAACTCAAAGGATAATCATTCTCTAACAATACTTTCATTACAAAACACAAATTATCAAAATGGAATTTAGGATTCGAAAGCAAAATCACCCTATCAACTAATCCCGCGATTGTACCTATTTTCTGAGAAACCGCGTGCTGTGACCAAAAGTTCAAATATATACCCGAAAAGGTTGACTTGTGGTACCAATCATTTACCTCATAGTGGAGAAAAATTACCGGAGATTTAAAAAAAAAGGGAACTGTTCCCAAGGAGCAATTTTTTTGCGTGAATGGATCGAAGGCAATGCGAATGAAGGATTCCTGAGTTTTCCAGATCCCCCGTGGTCCGGAACATTGTTTTTTTAACATTTAAAAAAAAATTGCGTTTTTTACGTTTTCTTCTTCAGTTTTTTGCGAATATCTCAGGTTCTATTCGTCGCACAGAGAAAAAAAAATACCAAATTGTTCGTAATAAAATTGTCTATAAAAAAGTATTAGACAGTGAAATCGGAAATCTTGCAACATAACCTCAAAAAAAAATAAAATCCACCAGACATGGTAAATTTTTGTTTTTATTTTTTTAAATTTTTTCTAATCCGCCAATTTAAATGATATTGCAGGAAAAGTTACTTCTAATAACCATAATTACGTGTAAAAAATTTGAATTGAAAATATTCATTAGGACGGCCGTAATGCCCGTTTCAATTTCAAAGTTGATCAACTTGTAACTTTTGGGCATCATACGGGAGGTGACTTTTTTTTTTTAATTTGTGGGTTTTTTATGCTCTTTAAGATGGTTATAAACAATATAGTCAAAATCCAAAAAAACTATTTTTAAAATCGATTTTTTTGAAAAATTTGTATTTTTTCTCCTCTTTTCATATAAAAATTCTACTTTAAACAATAAATTTCTATTTTTTTTAAACAAATTAACAAAATAATGTACGCGGATTGTGGTTAACATATGCAGATTCCCAATTTTTGTTCATAATTATAGAAATAAACTTTTTATCTTTCTTTCATTACCTTAAATCACAAGGTTATTTGTTGAAGAATGTATAATACGATTGGAATGTTTGTATTGAAATACTATGACGCGTTACAGGCCCAATATTTTTAGCACCGGTAATAATTTTCGACCGTTAGGCCCCGTCCCTGCCATTTCTGAATAGAATCCAGTCGTGCTCTAGCAGCAGATGTGCGTTGTGGTCTGGCAGTGTATACGAACAGTTTATTTGGATAAGAAAAAAATATTGTATATAAAATTATTTATTTAAGAAGGTATGTTAAATTTATGTTTTAAAATAACTTTTAACTGACTGTCTTTTACGTTCGTAAATTGTCAATAAAAATATCAATTTTTATGTATTTATATTACATACAGCATATATAATCGTACAATTTTTTTGTTACAGATAATTATTTTTGCTTGCGCTACGCTACATACTTTTTGCTTGCGCAAGTACGAATGTTTTGAAAAGGACATTCGCAACTTTTATGATCCCGCGGCTACGAAAACGTCATTATATGCAGCAGGTAAAAGTTGTATACAAGCTTTATACAATTCTGATCCAGAAAAGTACATAGATTTGAGCATTTTAAGATTTAGATGCTTCCAAAAGCATACAACGAGCACTGCGTGCAAACTTTTGCAACTGCCTCTGACTACATCTGCAGCGAACGATCACGTGCTACGAGTTTATTTGCAGGTTCAGAAATGGTTGCTGAATACGAATAAATTGCCGACGGATCACGGATGGGAGATGTCAGATAATGGTTTAATTCCAGTCGCTTTACCGAAAGGTGCGAAACCATTACCAGATAGCCTCTTAGAGTCAATAGCTTGCGGATGCAAATCTGGTTGCAAAACAAAGCAGTGCACGTGCAAGAAACATGGAATAAAGTGCGCAGCTGCATGTAGGTATTGCGCCGGTCTAAACTGTAAAAATTCTACAGTTTGTCAAGACGAAGTCCAAGAGGAATATTTAGGAGACGACAATGGTGACGCTGATACATCTTCAGTGTGTGAAACAGACTCACAAACGTCAGAATTGAGCATCGACGATATTATATCTGAAAGCTCACATGCTGAATCAGACTGGCTCTACACCGACGTCGAAGATGGTTACAATTTTTATTCTTGCGATACAAGCGACTCCGATTTTTCCGACGAATTACGCGTAACAAAACGAAAACGTGTACACTA